TGGAAAAGTATATGGGAAAGTAGTACTTATATTTTTCAGTATACTGCAATAAATTCATGGATTATGCATAGCTATATATATATATATATATATACTGTATTATTGAATATAATACAACATATAAGTAAATATATTGTCACATTTTTTCAGTATATAAAAAGCATTATTCTGTAGCCTGTATTTTCAGTATACATTGAATGGTTTAATATATTAATTGTTAATATGTAAGGAAATATATTTTCTTAGAACGCATGCTCACATGTTTAAGATGAATTTAAAGGCGAAGCATTTTAACAGAAAAAAAGTATATAGCATGAAAATGTGAACTTGTCAGAATGAAAAATCCTGATAAACAGTCGAGTCAAAGCGATAAGATCAGCCGAGATGGTTTCTGTAGAACAGGTATCCTGATATTGAACAGGCTGATAAAAGAGCACTTTTGGGTCGATTGTTTCTGCAGTGTGCCAGATAGAGGGTGCGTGTTATTAAGATAAAACGGATTAGCCGGGTAGATGAAAAGTCTCAAGCCAAGACTAGTGCTGTTGAATATAGCAAGAATGACGAGCTCAGGGCAACAAGGTCTGGAGGAATTATCAAAATCATGTCACTGCTGTATAAAACAACAGTAAAGTGACTGTAATGATGCTAAAGAAAAATGTATTTTCTGGAGAGTGGTCAACCTCTACACAAGGGAATTCACGCACTTCCTCGCATTGCCTTGGTAACATGGGCAGTAATAACAGGTTAGCAGGCGCCTGAAGTACAGCATAATTATTTTGTTGTGCATGTGATTAAAAGTGCTACCGCAAGGCAATATTGGGAAGTGCAGCTTAGTGGTTAAAGATCTTGGCTAATAACCCGAGTCTTGTGGGTTTAGACCCTGAAACCTTGAGCAAAGCACTTTGTTGTACAAGGAAAATTGGAGTCACTTTGGATAAGAAAGACTCTGCTAAACGGCAAAATCTTTCTCAGAGAAATTTTCGGAAATAAAAAGATCAGACATATTTCACTTTTCTTTTTTTTTTACTAAGTTTTACTGTTCAAAGTGCAAGTGAGTGTGTTTATTTATTTATTTGCTTTGTATACTATAACAGGTGGTTGGAGAGGCTGAAAAATAAGAGGATTTTATTTTTCTATTTTATTGTGCACCAATAAAACGTTCACAATCTGACCAAATTAAAGGAAGAGTTCACCCAAAAATAAACATTTGCTGAAAATTGACTCACCCTCAGGCCATCCAAAATGTCAGTGAGTTTGTTTCTTCATCAGAATATAGATACATCTAACTATGTATCATGTGCTAGCAATGGTTTGAAGTTAAAAATGTCTTAATGCTGGATTTGTTTCGTACAAACATGCATCTTTTCACTTCACAAGACATTAACTGATAGACTGGAGTGGTCTGGATTACTTGTGGATTATTGTGATGTTTTTAGCAGCTGTTTGGACTCTCATTCTGACGGCACCCATTCACTGCAGAGGATCCACTGGTGAGCAAGTGATGTAATGCTACATTTCTCCAAATCTGTTCAGATGAAGAAACAAACTTATCTACATCTTAGATGGCCTGAGAGTGTATACATTTTTAGAAAAATTACATTTTTGTCTAAACTATTCCTTTCAGAATGTAAATAGGGTTCATTTTGATTTGATGTTGACTTGGAACATTGTTCTTCAGAGTGTTTTGGCCACTAAGCTTTGAGATTTAAGCAGTAGGATTAGATTTAAGACCAAGGCTAGTTTAAAGGTTTCCTGAGATTATTCATGAGCTAATTGGCCAAACAAAAAAGTTATGTTTCGATTACAGGCTGTACTGTGACTGATGGCCTCGTGCCGTCTCCTTGTTTTGCACCTTCTGTTCCTTGTCTGATGAGTTCAATTCGAGCAGTAAATCTCCTGAAGGGAACACAGCAGTCAATCAGCAGTGAAATGAGTGTGTGGTGACCACACCATGACCGAGGCCCATGAATCTGCCAAGAACGTCTTGCACTAAAGACAGACGTCTTCAGCATTCGTGTCGCTCACCTCCAGCATACAATCCCTTATCTTTAACTTAAGCCATCAAGTCTGATTTGTGATGATTTGTTATGATAATCTGACAATTTTTTGCATATGTTCACCTAATAGAGAAATGCATTTTGATTACGGAAACAAACAGGCTCATTTGAACATAAATTTGGAGGAAATAATTTAAGGTTCCAAAAGACGGGTTTTGCAATGATGCCATAGAAGAAGCATTTTGGTTTCCCAAAGAACCATTCAGTGAACAGTTGTTGTTTTTTTCTTAGTGTGAAGAACATTTTAATGATCTAAATAAACTTTTTCCACTGTATAGAACCTTTTGTTCAATGGAAAGCTTCCATGGATGTTAAAGGTTCTATATGGAGTCATCTGCGTATTTTTAAGAGTGTAAAAAATGCATATATAAATTGACACCATAATCTACGTTTTCTTTTAAGTGCATGCAGGGTTATGTGCTGGTTTAATAGGGGTCTTAGGGGTTTGTTCAAATCTCTAACCCTAAATATGAAACTTTATTGGATTAATAATCCTGCATCATTTGTGCTACAGACATGATCCTTTTCTTTTTGCCTGGCAGATGATAAAATACATACAATAAAAATACAATAAAGCAAGACATCTGATGTGAATAGGGTAAAAATATCAGTCTTCCCCAGTTGATCGTGTATATTAAGAATAGCGAACATTTTTAACAAGTTTTATGAAATGTTTTGTTTAAATATGAATTAAATATGCACTAATTTGCATACATTTCCAGAGCAGTAATATTAATATTGGTTAAAGTAAGTTTCAAAATTCTTGTTTCATTTTGTTGACATATTAGAGTTAAATCTCCATAAATCAGTACATACGGTCAACAGCCAAAAATAATAAAACAAAATAATAAAATAAAATGATATATGAACAAACCCTTTTGAAAAAAACCTCCAGAATATAGAGATAAAACCATAAAGTTCAGTGTATGTACTGCTGAAGTGCAAAGACTCATTCTTTAAACTACATATTGTAACTGAAATCTACAGATGCAAATAAAGTGCAATGAAATAAACACTTAAAAGTGTATTTTGGATGTTTTTTTCACTAGTCTGAAACAATACATTATTAAAAGCCAAATAGCCCAAAATCTCCAAACTGACCAGTGCATGAAAACACAATGTTTTTACCTGCAGTGTCTTGCCTTACATTAAACTCAAACCACTTTACGGTTGTGAGGTTTACACAAGCACAATTTCTCCAGAAAATGTCAAGATCTAGTTTGATTGTTGCCATTTAAAGAGCATTTGCCTGAGTGTTGACCTTAATATATGCTGCTGTGCGGCAGCGATTTCCTGGAACCAAGATGCATGTTTATTAAATGTAAAATCAGCAGAATTTCCAAGCGCTATCGTGCGCCTTTGCACTTTAATCTTATGCAGCACATTGAACTCTCTTATTAAAATAAAACCTCTCCTGCATATAGGCTTTAATGTGAAGTCGTGCTTCTACCGCTGAGTTGTAGCTGATACGTGAAATTGCGGCCTCTAATGTGACACGAAGCAAAGACGAATGCTCTTGGTCTCAGACGTCTGCTTGCACTTATTACTGGCTTCATGGCTTGTCATCTGAATGCTCAGGCACCTGGGAGCAGACTGAGGACTCGGCTCTTCTTAGCAAAACGTGTCTAATTGTGTACTGGTGCAGGGAGAACAAATTCAGTCATTAGAGATTTATTTGCCATGCTGTGTAAGACCGGGGATTGAGTACGCTCAGGTAAATACTTCACTGTCTCAATGATTAGGAACATAGAAAAACAAGCTTTGAAAGCTTTTTAAATTAAGCTGTTAAGGTGAAACAGCAGCTTAGCTAATATTTGCTAAAAGCCCATTATTTAAATGAGCTTTCTGCTGATGAACTAATATTTATTGCAATGGTATTTTGTTCTCTGAGCAGTCTTGTTGTTAATATTACATTATGTTGGGTTTTTTGAGAAATGTTGAGATTAATGGTTCAAAAATTTATATTTCACTTTTGCTAAAGCTTTTAATTGCTTTTTATTTATTATTTATTTGAGGCAAGATTGCATTCAGATTTAGACACAATTAGCCTGATGATACACAGGGCAACGTTTTGAGCAGTGTTGCTGGGCAACTTTGGGCAATGTTGTGAACAATCTAAAGTATCCAGATAGAAATGTGAAACCGTGCTCAAAAAAAGTTGCCTGGCAAAATTTCTCAAAAAGTTGCCCCATGCTTCAGAAGTGGACATTTGACCGAGACTATTACATTCGGCCTTGCTCTCAGTTGTTGAAGCCCTAAGACTGGCAAGAGCGGCTTCC